GCTCTTTAAAATTATCCAAAATGTAACAGCTAGTCTATTTTCAGCTCATTTAACCTAGATCAGATGTTTGAATTGACTCAGTTAGTCTTAATCTTGGTCAATTCTCTACAAGTAGAGAAACTTTAAATTTGGAATAGGTCGTTCGTAACCATTAATATTGTCGTTTTTTGTGCAATATGATATATGCGAACTGGTTATGAATTCCGTGAACTTCTACACAAAACATCTTTTATCTTTCATTGGTACCAAAAGAAGAGTAAAGTTTGTTCTCGTAACAGTTATCCTACTGAAAACATTTAAATGACCTACTGTTAACTATAGGAGATAATTCAGTTCGGAGCTCATACCTTTACATCAAAGAAAGTTAAACAACGCTGAAGATGACTAGTCAATTAATATTGAACCTGTTACGTCACACCATGAATAGTTTACCTGTTATCAGTGAAGAAATCTTTATTGTTATTGATATAAACTATTACGCAACAAAGTGATAAGATAATGCCTTAAAAGCTGGAGAGGGATAGATAAGTCTGGTTTATATAAAACAAAAGTAATTTCCGCTTTTTGGGAAAGAATGATACTCAGTGTGTCATGAGAACGCAAAATGCATTCCGTTTTTTTCAATCTTTTATTACATTATCTGATCTAGTCCTTATTTTTAGACTATTCTCTTAAAACTCAAAAAATCCTGATTTTCCCAAGAGTAAAGCTAGTGAGTGTTAATTAACGAATTAGTGACCTATCCAATCGCTAACCAAACCTAGGTTTCGCTCTAGTCACTTCATAATTTCACTTAAATTTTATGCACATAAAAGACCCACGAAATAGTAGTAGTAAGTTGACGCTTCTGCTATTTGGATGTGAACATTTTTCGTGTATACTGTGAGTATGTAAACCACATTTTACACATTTCCCTATTTAGGGTTAGTTCATGTACTCAAAACCAGCTACTAATATTGATACCGTCTAAATTTCTTTTATAAAACTGTCTACTTTCTTTCTAAGCTTCAGAGTTAACTAAACCTGTTCACTGAATTTTTCTTAGTAATCATAATTATATAAATAGTTTTTTCTTAAATTTCGTATAGTACTTAAAGCGTGGATGCTTGTCTTACTAGATCGCAGCAGAAAAAAATACGACCTTCATTTCAATTACTCCTTAAACTATTTACACGACGGTTACGTGAGCCGCCTTTTGTGAAGTCCTTTAACTAATCTGTTTTTCTGAATGCTTCTACTGTCTATGGTTGATTTAAACAAGTTCATTTTAAGTATTAAATGATTACTTAACTTTTCATCATTATCTCCATTACTCCTAGTATTCATTTATTCAAAATGCGAAGTAGGCTCATGATTTGGATTTCAAAGTAGACCGTGTTAACACTAAATCCCAGCACGAAAGAAGGACACTCAGTATGAATTAGAACGTAGTGCTTTGGCTATGCAAAACTTGTGTAGTAGGAAATTAACTAAATGCACATTTTGTTACTTGACTGCTAGACATAATTCAAAATAGTCGAAACTCAGGTGTAATTAATTTATGTCTGCTGGTGAATAAAAGACTTTGGTCCCTGAATGAATACAAATTATTCAGTAATGCCAACTTTAGTGGGATAAAGAGCAGGCCATTAAAAATAAGTATTGGCTTCATGCTGAACCGGTCATCTGAGTATATATATATATATAATATTTCCAGAATAATCAAAAGCATACAAATATGAGCAAATGACTGAAGGTGAATATCCATACATTAAGTTCGTGAGTGTATGGTTCTGAATGTGCTCAAAACAAGAACGAAAAATCTGTCATCTTCTCTACGGTTCTTAGTGGTTTCTACCTAGTGGGACTTAATCTAATACTAAGTCTGATAGCTGTAAAGGAGGGTGAGCAGACAATGTTTAAAAGTTTTTCGAAGAAAATGCACAGTTATTATGGAGAATGAACTTTAATTTCTGGACATAGATGATATTAAATAACGTTTTGCATCAACCGTAGTCCCCTAACAATGAAAACACACCGACCATCTCACTATTATAATACACATTCAAGTACTAAATGATTTTGTATAATATGTAACGAATCAGTCAAATCCGAAAGGTTTCTGTAGGCATAGACAGTCTACAGAAATACAGCTGAATAAGTAGATACAGTAAGGAAACAACTTTTAGAGTTTACAATGATAAAGTGTTCATTTTCAGTCTGATAAAGTACACGACAATTCTGTTTAAACTTTACGTATGTTTAGATTTATTTAGACAAAGTTCATATTCTGACTGAATACAGTTAGTTTTCTAACCCTGATTACAATCATATCAATTAATAAGATTATGAGCAATAAACTGTTCTCGAGATTTTATCCAGTTATCACCATTGAATCAATGTGTGTTATATCAGATAAACTTATCTAATATGGAATTACATTATAACATAGTACCCAAGTTCTATATTTATACCAATAACTTATGCTGTAGAATTAAGGAATTTTAAGAAACAGTAAAGTAAAAGTTATTCCCATATTATAAAATTCTGTTCATAAAATTCACAGCTGAACTTCTGATTATTTAAACTATAAGGCACAACTGTCTGTCGCGTGATAAATTCACTTGTATAAGATGGTATTTCATGGATAAGACTTCACGTTTCCCTACCAGTAGCTTAGCTTCACCTGCTTCTTTACATTTTAATAAATAATTCCATCATCTCTCTACTACAATCTACCGTGTGAAACTCAAAAGTAATATGAAATTATCCATAGTAGTATAAGGAAACAAATTATTGTATTTCATAAATTCCTAAGAAATAAAACGATCGAGGAATATTTCTAAAAAACAGTGCACGAAGTTTTGGTTAACAGTTTAGTGTAGCATAGTAGGACGCTTTATATTCGCCATAAAATTATCAATAAATGTATTTACAACTGTTTTATCTACTTTAAAAGGTTCCATCTAATACCACAATCATCAGCATTCTTCTGTCTTAGAAAATTCGTCTATGAATTCTAAAAACACCTGTACTCCTCAGACCAACATTCACTGTCTTATCTTATGAAGTGTTTCTATTCTGTATACACTTCAGTCATATTGCATATGAAAGCAAACAGTGAATAAATATCTTGACGACTACAGTTAATGTAGGTCTGAAAACTAAAATTCAACGAATCTTTGTCTATACGTATATTATCTGTCAATATTCCTTTCCTTCTAATCCTACATATACTTTGCTGACAGTCTCGATACAGGAATTTTATTCCCTTAAAACACATAAATGGCTAAGAAATGTTTAAGAAACAAATAGACGTCTTCATGGACAGTTCTTGTTGTGTGAAGAGTATTTTTGGAAAGTCTAGAATCGATACCGAAATTTAATTTAATATAATTAAATAAGAAAAATATCTTGGACCGTTTACTTCCCTTTTTCTACTTCTCGCCGAATTAATTTCAATAAATGTGAGTCAAATAGTAAAAGTAGTTTTATTTAATAAGTTGACTAACTAATAGGCAGATTGTATGAGTAAAAAGCACAACTAGTTGAAACTAGCATTTGAGTGAAGATTAACAACACAATTGCAACTATTTTTCACAAACCGACGTGTCTAAAACACCGACCCACTTCGTCAAAACACTAAAGAAGGGAGAATCAAACCTTTACCAGAACCGGCATGGGGTTATGCTCCTCCACACGTCAAGTAAAATATTAAATCGTATCATCATGCTGGGACCAAAAGGTCCTATGGATGCGAAAATCTAGCCCAAACAAGCTGAATTCAGGAAAAGCAAATCATATGCAGTTCGAATTGCAACACTACGTATCATCGTCAGACACAGCCCAGAACTGTAGTCAGCTATTTACCTCAAATTCATCGACTCTAAAAAGCCTTTCGATAACATCGACAGTGAAATTATTTGGAAACTACTTCAACAATACACAACAATATGCAAAACCTCTATCAGTCTCATTTAACACCTATATAATAGTGCCACATATCAAGTGATTTATGACAAAAAAGGTCAGTGAAGCGTTTGAAGTGAAAACAGAAGTAAGACATAGCTGCCTATTACCACCGATCTTATTCCTAACTATAATCAACTGGAAATTAATGCTTTTTGGCAATCATAGAACCAGCTGAAAAGGTTGGAAAGAAGGGAGCGAAATGTCAATGGGCTGTTGAAGTCCTGTGTTCCACTCGGAACTCAAGGGAGTAATAATGTAATGCAAAATAACGCATAACTAAAATACCTTCAAAACGAAATCAGGATTATTATAACTATGGGAAAGTGTTAGTAGGTGTCGTCTTTCATGTTCACTTATTAAAAAAAATACTACTGGTGTCCATTTATCGGCTTTACAATAATAAAGTATATCGTAAACGATTGATTTCAGTCAACCCTGTACTTTTGTGTGGAAACTTTTATCAATCCTAAACAGTATACTGGCTTAAGGGTTACCTTATTATTAATCCATAAATGTGTTTGTAGTGGAATACTGCCACCGTTTCCTAACATTTACTTCGTACGGCCGAAAGTGTCAATCTTATTCATTTGTTTGAGAGTCTAAAGACTGGAATATTAAGATGAATTGTTGCTAAATTGTCAATTATTTTTCAGTCCATTGACAGCCTGAGAATAAAACACTGTTTTAAATGGTTTACCAGAGCCTTTTCATGAAATAAATGCTAAACAATATTATTCAGAGCTAAAATACACTAATTTATTCGACTTGGAAAGAAGTACCTCCGCCTATGAATTATCATAGTTAGACAGCAGTTTAAAAGGTAAGAATGCATCCAAATATTCAGACATTCACAGTCCTTTGACTAAGTACAGTTGTTCAAATGTTTACTGTGAACATTTTTTTCGATAAAATAACTTATAAGTAAGTAAAATACATTTGTCCTGATTGTGTTAAATAAAGAAAAGTAAAAGCTGAAATAGAATTAAGACAATTATTCAATGAAGTACTAAAACATCTTCAAAAATATTGCATGTATACTAATCACTCACCTTCAAAATATGGTTTCATACATCGTTGTCATCAGTACTATTGCTTAGATAATTTATTTTACCGCAATGTCTTCTTTATGTATTAAAACATGATCACAAGTACTCAGTGTGTCAGCAGAAGAAACAGATGTATATGTACAATTCCTGCCTTTTATGTACAATTCACTTCGATGATAGAATATAATGCCAAGTAAAGTCTTAATTTTTAAAAGAAGTCTTCAACTTCTTGTCAGTTTTCAAACAACACTAAATTTTCACTGTTCCACTGATTATATTCATCTTTTTAAATGCTAATATACAGGGGAAATGAACAATTTTACTGAAATCAATAAATATAACATCTATTATGTTTCCCCTAAACTTTTGGTTCAACAGACGTCAAAATTTGTAATTGGTCATTGGATAATTTATAAACCAATCAGGTTCGTATGGCCTATTTATTTTGGGAAGTTAATTATATGAGTTTTATGGAAAACTACATGTATATACCGAACAAAACTGCCTCACTGAAATGGAGTATCAGGAAAAAAACCATATAATTACATGGTGTTAATTTATAATTTTATGTAAAAATTGAAAGGATATGGACGTTTTAGGTGTCAGTCAATAATATTTGGAAAATTACGGTGAAAAACGAAGCAATCGCTTAATTTTTAAAATGTTTGCTACGGACGGTCAATTCGTTGCTTTTGAAATTAATGTATTTTGACAAAGATTATTAGGAATAGCAAGAACCGGGAAACGCATGTAGCCCACAAAACTAATGAAGTACATATCCGTTAGTTAAAGTTCGTGAACTTTTCACTTTATTACGGCCTAACATTAACTGATAAATTCTTCTGATTTCCATGCAAGAAAAATATTGTTTTAAACCCAGTTGTTCGACAGAAAATATTAAAATATCAAAGCATGATAGGTGGTACGAAGATTTCATCACAGGCTATAAATATAATGCTTAATTATTTTTCACGGACATAGGACATCCTAGTCATTAGAAGAGAAACAGTATTCTTCAAGTCAGCTATTAAACAATCAGTCATGGGAAGTTACAAGGGTGCCCCTGTGGCAGATTCGTCGTCCTGTGGATTAAACTGACAATTTAATCAAAAATGTGTATCAATTAGTGTTTCGGCATATCCATATGAATTAATCACCTCTAATAAATGTAGGTAAGAAACAAAGATTTTTCTGCTCAGGTTTTAAACACCTGAGTGTACCTTCATATTTCAAAGAAGTTTACAACAAGAAGGGTGATTCACTAGTGGAACTCGTGAATGGATATTTCTGAGGGCACTTACAACATAAAAGATGATAAGAAGTGAGTAAATTTGAGTAATGGTAAGCTAATTTTAGAGTCATTAACTTTCAGTCCTAAATTCCTCGTGAACACCAGTCATGCAAACTTCACCCACCAGTGTAGGTTAAACCAACATCTTGCCATGTTTTAGGTTCATCAATCCGAACTCTTTTCTTGCCTGTGCGTTGGAGGTTCAGCGGTAGAATTCTTGCCAACCACGTAAGTGGTGTGGGTTTCAATTCCCGGCCGAGGCAATCTGAAAACTAGCTTGACTGGTAATGAACCCGAAAAAGAAGGGAGCTTGGGGTTGAGGCTAGCAACTCCACCTCATACATAATGCAACCTCTGCTGAAGTTTCAAAGCTCAAGCTTGAAGTCTTATGTCCCACTGAGAAAGCGAAGGTGCTCAAAAATTGAAGGTTTAAAAATTTGGCAAATTTTGTACCCTAACAAATATACCTGCGTTCATAAACCTGGTTTTTTACCAAATTATGTTACGATGTCTCCATGTGACCATTCCCCCATAGTCTTAAATATTATGTTAGTCTAGATAATCTACCTGTAATTATCAGTGAAATATCTATTCCACCCGATGATGTGCACTTTTCAGTCACAGCTATCCCGAGTCCTTGCAGAATAGCTTGTATCTCCGTTAATTTTTTTCATAACTCATTGTTAGCAGCAGATTTCGTTGTTATCCTTTACCTTTACATTAATGACAGCTTTTGCTACCTAGGATTCTGTAGGAAAAACGATGTTTACGTTCTGTTATGATTGATACAGGATGGTGATCAACCATTGTGAATTATTTACCTTGTCTAAAGGTTATCTGCGTCGGTGGCATAGCGGTTAGGACGCTCGCTGACCATGCATATGTTCCGGGGTTTCTATCCCCGGTTGGCGCACTCCTTTACCTCACTAATCCAGAAATAAAGCTGGTAAAGAGGAAAGGTTGGGCATGAGGCTAGCAACCCAATCCTGTAAAAATAAACACTGCTACAGAAACTTCAAGCCGCTAGCTTGAAGCCCTTTGTTCCAGTGGGAACTTGAAGCAATGAAAAAAGGTTATCTATCCTAAAAAGTCTCGCTGAAGTTTCTTCCTTCTTAAAGATCGTTTCTCAGGACTGTGTACATCAGTTTACACTTATATCAAGTTTTTATAACGCATTGTGATTGTATACGATATTTCAAATACATTAACGATTGTTTCTGAGGTTGAAACAGTAGTATACTCCTGAGGTAAATTTCTGAAATCAATGATTGTGTGATGTTGCACCAAGTAATCCAATTCAGTGTATACAAGACTCATTTTATCCAACAAATTCATATATGAATTAGCTTACAGAAATACATAATGCTCTAGGTCTTTGATTCACTGTAATTTACATACTCTATCAGTATCAGATGGCGAGTGCATTATCTCAGTTGCCCGAATAAGAAGAATGTACCTCTGTTAATGTGTCCTAGTTGGAGTAATTGTTGCTTGCTTATGAGTGACAGCTAGTTAACGATGTCCGGCATAGAGAACTTTGATAACCGCTTACAGCAAATATTTATACGCACTTATCTAGGTGTGAATCGTCAATTTCCACCTATAATGAAACTAATCAAAATCTTTAGAATTCTTTAGAGTTAGAAATATGTCGCTTGCTGATATCATTTATCCATATATGTCTGTATCATAGTGTATATGCACTTTATCGCGATGAGTGCTGTTTTCACAATGATTGAACACTTTTTAAGAACACGATTATTGGATAAATACATTTCATTTATGTTGCTAGTGTCATTTAAATTGATTGATGATTTAAGTTAGAATTGTAAGAGTTACGACATAAGATTTGAACTAGTAACCTTCCTGGTACTACCCGATGACCCCCCTACTAAGCCACCCATACTTACGTTTCATTTCCATCTATTACATCTTTGTCTTAAGCAATTCAGTATCATTTATATGCAGTGCTCGTGCTGTTTAGTATCCATGCTCTGATGACCTATAGTATTTATTACCACCCAATATTCACAGGTTACTAGTGATACACATCACATGATTTTTATTGTAAAACATTATGATAGAAGTGATATTAGCTATTGCATATAGTTAATAACCAGTATAAGAAATACGAAAAATGCTTCCTCTTTCTTAACAAACACTAAGGTCACAGTCATAAATAATCCTCACAAATATTGTGTAATTTGTTAGGGAAGGTATATATATATATATATATATATATATATATATATATTCATGACTTCTACGGCTGAATGAATCATTCCATCCTTATGAGGTCAAATGTTCTAAATGGAATACAGTTGCAAACAAGGGAGAACCTTAGTGTGTTAATTGAGCTAATTATTTTTAAAATAAAAATCATACACAAGGAAAAGTACATTAAGGTTACTAAATATTAAATGATCCTGTGTAACTAATTATATTCAATATAGTGCTTACATAAGAACCTATGAACGAAAATGTTAAGTGGCTTATGTACTACTGTCAAAAGCACTTCATGATAAATAGTAACGCAGGAGATTATTAATTTAATTCGAAAAGTGATATCTCCCAAAACTCGTGTGAGTCGCTTTATCAAGCATATAACAGCTGGTAAAAACCTAAAAATATTTCCATTTAACAACGAGAATTTATATATCGATTAATATATTTTCAAATCATTTTATGTTCTTCATCCATAACCACAACAACAGCAACATCCACCACCAATCACCATCAACGGGAGGAATTTGAAAGAGGGTACTTCATCCACTTATCTAGGGAGCATTGTCTCAACTACAGGAGGAAGGGACGAGGATGTCAAATCGAGCGAGAATCGGGAAGGCGAGAAACACATTCATCAACCTGAAACCAATCTGGAAATCTTCGTCACTCAACTCAGCATCTACAACAAAGTGATTCGGATTTTCAATACAAACGTCAAGTCAGTCAGTTCTTCTATACGGATCAGAAACTTGGCGGGTCACAAAGAATATTTTCAACAGGCTGTTGCAAACCTTTATCAACAACTGTCTTCGTTCTATACTGAAGATCAGATGGCCGGAAAGAGTCACCAACAAAAAACTATGGGAACAAATAAAACAGGAACCAATCGCCCAACAAATATGCAGGAGAAAGTGGAGATGGATTGAACACTCGCTGAGGAGGCCGTTGGGTGACATCGCGCGTCAGGCCAACGCTCGAGTGGAACCCGAAAGGGAAGTGACGAGTGGGACGTCGAAGGGTGACATGGAGGAGATCGTGTGGAGAGGAGTTGAAACAGTATGGAATAACATGGATGCAGGTGAAAAGTACGGCAGAAGACAGAAGCAAGTGGAGACGTGTAGTTGAAGCCCTATGTTCCACTAGGAACCCAAGGGAACAATAGTAATAATATAATAAATCCATAATCAGATGAGTGCCAACTAGCACGAAACCTAGGTCCAAGGCTTCCTGCCGATTGCCTCCAACCATCTAATACCAACAATTCACAGTGCACCGTAATGGCGAGCCACCTAGCATCGTGGCCACATTGCAAACATGACTGATAGAATTCAGTCTGCACCGAAGATAGGACTAGACGCATTACACTAGTTACTGACTAGTGTGCAATCAAAAAAATCAATAATCACTCCCTACACTAAACATTCCGATTTTAAGTACTTACCTAGTATCGCTTAGTGTAAAGTGTTAACATAAGTCAGTTACTTAAATTTTGCACTCTAACGTGTTTTTATCTGTATTATTTGCATTTATTACTGTCCCTTTCATAGCCGTCAAAACTATAATTGCGTGATGTACAACTCTGCTTTCAATAAAACAGTCAATTATTTGCCTATAGATTAATGGGCATTTCCCGTTGATAAGATTAAATTGGACCTATATGTTCGGTCTCTGTTGACATGCGTGTCTCCAGTGAAGACAGTTCGACGGTGTCTGAAGATTAACATGATGTTATTTTAGTTGATGGTAACTAGTAGTGTACTTTAGGATGTACGTTTCGAACTATTCAAACGAATGTATTTGCACCCTCAGTACTCTCACTAAGAGTAGCATGGTCCGGTGGCTTAATG